GAATTAGAATTAGAATTAGAATTAGAATTAGAATTAGAATTAGAATTCTTTATTGGCCAAGTGTGATTGGGCACACAAAGAATTTGTCTTGGTGCAAACGCTCTCAGTGTACATAAAAAGAAAAGATACATTCGTCAAGAGTCAAGAATCATCAGGTACATCACTTAATGATAGTCATAGGGTACAATAAGCAATCAAATCCTACTAGGAAACAGTCAATACAAATCGTAAGGATACAAGCAACAAAGATACAGTCCTACAGTCCCAAGTGGGAGGGAATGGGCGATAAGGAGTGATGAGAAGATTAATAATAATAGTAGTGCAGACTTTGTAAATAGTTGGACAGTGTTGAGGGAATTATTTGTTTAGCAGAGGGATGGCGTTCGGGAAAAAACTGTCCTTGTGTCTAGTTGTTCTGGTGTGCAGTGCCCTATAGCATCGTTTTGAGGGAAGGTGTTGAAACAGTTTATGTCCAGGATGATGAGGAGTCTGTAGATATTTTCACAGCCCTCTTTTTTGACTCGTGCAGCATACAGGCCCTCGATGGAAGGCAGGTTGGTAGCAATTGTTTTTTCTGCAATCCTAATTACCCTCTGAAGTCTGTGTCTGTTAGTGACGTGGAGAACGTGATTGTTCAAGCTAATAGCAATGGCTGGATCACAAATGCTCGTTCTTTCACATCTGAACACCAACATTATGCCAATATTAAGCTTGTTTATTTATGTTACACAGTTTTTCTCAGCTATGCTGGCTGGGGAATTCTGGGAGTTGAAGTCTACCCACCTTAAAGTCGCCAAATTCAAGGGACACTAATCTGATCCCTTGACTTTTGTAGCCTGCATTTATTACATGGGTTCCTAACTGGGGGCGCGAGACAATATTACAGGGATTCCTAACTGGGGGTGCGAAAACTTGGGTTTAGAAATTTCAAAATTATAGTGTATATTTATATAATGATACGCATATAATTATTTCTTTTTTTAAGGAGTACGGAATATATTAGACATGTTCTAGGAGTGCGGGTATAGAAAAGGTTGGGAACCCCTGACTTATTACTATCTCATCCCTGTCTCAGTTCAAACTATGTTTTTAATACAGGTATCCTCATCTTATAACAACAGTTCATATTGTGACTGTTCAAAGTTCCAACAGATCTGAAAACTTACGACCTTTTTTTCACACTCAGTTGGTCACATAAACAAAATTCAGATGCTTGGCAACTGGTTCAGATTTAATGATGGTTGCAGGGTCCGAGGCAGAGCTGGTATTCAGCAGGTTCTGACCAGTTCTGGAGAACCGGTAGCGGAAATTTTGAGTAGTTCAGAGAACTAGCCAATACCACCTCTGACTGGCCCCGCCCCCATCTATTCTCCGCCTCCTGAGTCCCGGCTGATTGGCTGGGTCTTCTTTTGTTGCCCTGCACAGGAGAACGGAGCTGGAAAGCAGGTTAGTGGGGTGGGGAGGGAAGGGGGATTTTGCAATATCGTTCCCCTGCCATGCCTACCAAGCCACGTCCACAGAACCGGTAGTAAAATTTTTGAATCCCACCATTGGTCGGAGGGTCATACTATCCCCTTTTTAAGGCCAGTTCTGTCCCAACTATTGTGTTAGTTGTATCGTGGCATTCTGCCAATTGATTATTGATAGTCCTTGAATTACAACGGTTCGTTTAGTGGCCATTCGAAGTTACAACGGCACTTTCAAAAGGGACTTATGACCATTTTTCACACTTACCACCCTTGCAGCGCTCCCCATTGTCACATGATTTATATTTGGATGCTTGACAACTGACTCACATTTATGACAGTTGCAGTGGCCTTGGGTCACGGGAATCTCCTTTTGCGACCTGGCAAGCAAAATCAGTGGGGAAAGTAAACTCACTTAACGGCCGTGTTACCAAATGAACAAGTGCAGTGATTCACTTAACGGCTGCGCCAAGGAAAGTCATAAAAATGGGGGGGGGAACTCACTTAGCCAGCGTCTCACTTAGCCATATAAATGTTGGGCTCCATTGTGGTCGTAGCTCGAGTGGTGCAGTGGCTTAGAGATGGAACTCTCGCCTCACAATCAGGAGGCTGTGAGTTCAATCCTGGGTACCGGCAGATATTTCTCTCTCTGGGCACAATGAGAAAATATCTGAATAAAACTCCACATTGGCAACAGGAAGGGCATCCGGCCAGTAAACACTCAGCTCCATTCAGTTGCCCAGACGCTGCCTCTGCTAAGGGATTACGGGGTCATTAAAAGACAAAATAGGGGTCATAAATTCGAGGGCTACCTGTCCTCCTCCCGTTTATCCGCTTGGAGAACACGATGGGTGGGGAAATCCTGGATCCCCTCAAGAACTTTCGGTTGGTTTTTGTGGAATAGAAGCGTATCTCTCTCGATGCCCAGTCAAAATCAGCATCTCTCCTTACGAAGGAAAGACGGCTTTCCGCTCACCGAAGAAGGAAAGATGCCCTTGCGTGAAGCCTCTCCCGGAGCGTGAAATCTTGACAGACCTGAACGATAAAAAGTGGATGATTTCAAAGCTTCTGAGCCAGTCGGATCGTGGGCTGATCTATGAAGGTATTCAG